GTTTTAAAATAATCATGTAACATGAATAAATCTAGCCAAAGTCCTTCTTGAAGCAAGCCTTCACATTCAGCAGCCACAAGGCACTTTGTTTGGACCTTTATTTTGAAACTCTGTAAAATACGAAAAATGTCAGTGGTTACAGGACATAAAAACTGCACGTATATAGTCACCAGAGCTGATAAAAGCTGCTTATAAAGTTTGTTGGTTTTGAAACAAAATAAAATCTTTATCTAGGAATGGGTTTTTTTTCCCTCTAGAAGGTAAACTGTGTGTGGTTGAACTCGACCCACAACTGAAAGGACATGATCCAAGGATACAACACAATACTTTATTTATTGGTTATTTTGGGAAATGTTTAAAATTTCACGTTCTTTTGTTTGGAGCATCAGCATACACTTTTCTGTTTGATTAATTCTTAATAATTCAATCCTTCCTCTTAGACCGTCTGAACCTTCCCAGTGTGCTGGTTTTGAATAGCTGTGGGATCAGCAGGTCAGGGGACCAGGCTGAGATTGCTGCCTTCTGTGCTCATGTCGTGGAGCTGGACCTGTCTCACAACAAGCTGCAGGATTGGCATGAGGTGCAGTCCCTGGGTTTCTGACAGTAACATTTTTTTGTTTTAGGAAATCACTTTTCTCTTTTAAGGCTTTAACCTGTGGTGATAGTGTTGACGACAGCACCAAGTGTATTTAAGAAAGATGCTACTGTCCTTTTTCAGATTAGTAAAATTGTTTCTAACATCCCCAACCTGGAATTCCTCAACCTGAGCTCAAACCCGCTGGCAGGAATGACCCTTGAGCCACGGTGGGCTGAAGCCTTCTCCAGCGTGCGACGCCTTGTCCTCAACAACACTCAGGTGTCCTGGGACACTGTGCTGCTGCTCACTCGAGAAATACCAGAGTAAGAAGAACAGCTACCCTAAGCTGGGTGTAACTCCAAGCACACACAGCATTGCTTTATTTCACTTCATCTCACTATGACTAGCACAACACCTTCCTTATCCATAACTAACACTGATAAATCACTGAATGCATTTGATGATGGCAGTTTAACCAAATGATAACAAACATATTTTCTTACTTACTCCATGAGCCGTGCTTCCATGTTTTAGTTTATTTCAAG